TGTTCTTCTGCCTCACTGTGGCCTTACTCCCAAGTCGACCCTTGTCCTTTAGCTCTTCCCTTTGTCTGGCCACTCTGTGCATGTGCACACTGGGCCTGGGGCTAAAGACTCGTTGTCCCACTTCGAATGGTATTATTGTTGTGCTTTTAATTATGTATGGTTTTATGTTTTGTTACTCTGTTTGTATTTCCCCTCCCTTTTGAGTTGTGAGCCGCCCTGAGTCCCTTCAGGGAAAAGGGCGGCATACAAATAAATTAAACGAAACGAAAACGAATGATAGTGCCAACATATTTGGAGGCCCACAAGTTGGACAAGACCAATCAAGGCATGCAGCAGAAATATACTATATACTAAAGAGGTTGCTTGATTAAGGACACAGGGGAAGAATAACTTATGTTAATCTTACATCGTAAGATATATGAGCTACTGCTTAAGTAATTATTTTTCAACTATTGACTAAATCAGATAGTATTCATTGCATTCCACTTCAAAAAGAATTACAAACCCTCTTTAATATTTTTGCATTACTTTGTATGAAGGTATACCTTTAGTAAGAGATTGTTTTAAATATTAGGCACAAGCAGCTACAAGTAAGCCTGATTCATGCCAGCCCATAGTGGATCAGATGCAAATTTTAACACATACATGAAACTGGAAAACAAGGATTGACACAGAATATTATTTTGAAATCTTTCCCACTAGGTTCATTTGACATCAACTATGGGCTCAGCTTTCTAAGGCAGATGGAATTTGATGTGAAAACAAGCCAAGCCTTTTCAGTCCTTTGATGTACTTTGAGTTGGTATCCCTCAGCATTATTTGTCCAATGGATATCTTTTCAATTATGATGGAAACTTATACATTTTATCTGTAAGCATGAGTAAAAGTTGCCAGGCTGATGAACTTTATAACACACAGTTTGTCCAATAGATGACATATCACCTTGTGTTTACACAACACGGAAGAGCAGTGTTGACAAAGGATGACAAACGATATCCCTAGAGACTTTCTGTGAGTTGCAGAAAACTTGAACTGTCACTGGTGAGGCATAGCAATAGATCTAAGAAAGCTACCCTTGATTTCCACTGACGAGCTCATAAACTGACTTCCACCATCAGTATTCTCTGGAATAAGAAATACTCTTACTACATGTAGGAAATACTAGGCTGAACTTGAAGTTTATCACAGATAATGTTCCAGAACAAAATGTAACCATAGATTGCTTCAATTAATTTTATTAATTGAAATTTATTACTGTTTCAAGGATTGACATTGTTTTCACTATGAAAATGGACCAATATCCTCAGTATTTCTGTAAGTTGAGATAGTTTTCTCTGAAACAATCCTTCTTTAAGGCTGAACAAAAACACAAGTGAGAGCTTTGTTTCTGTAATGTCTTGGGGGGAGGGAACCTTATGGTTAGTAACTGCCTTGCTGGGACTTATCAGTGCTTGAAATTATTGTTCTGTCTCTTCAAAATCATGAAGTAGGAAACACTACAACGTGTGTGGGTGTTTGTGATTGTGTGTAGCAAAAGAGAAAAAAGGAGAAAAATATGGAGTACGATAGTTAAATAACATTAGAGGATAATTAATAGTATACTGTAGTTGTATACAAGTTCATATCCAAACTGTGTTTTTGCACTTTTAAGAGATCTACAATCTTCATATTAGGATCAAACGGAACCATCTTTGCTTGTGGTTTTGCTGGACTTCTGGTTGTCTTTGTTCTCATCTCACAGACTAGGAGCAAATATTCCCTTTGAACTTTTGACCTTATAGCTAGCCTTTCCATCTGCAAATGAAAATGACATGGATAAATATGAATGTTATTTTACTTGCATGTAACAAAAGCAGAACGATGTTGAAGGAAGGAAATGCATGAATAAAAACAACTGAAAGTATGAATTGGCTCTAGTTCTCATCACAGTCACCAAATTCACCCACATCTAGCTTTCACTAGACTTTCCCATCTTCAGTGTCCTCCAAATTGTAGATAAACAGACTGAAAATTATAATGATGATGTACCATCAAGTTAAAGTCATCTTCTAGATATCACATACCTAGATGATCAGTTCCATTGTGTACCATGGCTCTTTAGATAGTCCATCATTCCCGCTAGTCTTTTGATTTAACAATGATCAAAGTGCTGGTCTAACTTCATCTTCTAGTACTAGAAATTCCTGTATACAGAGAATGCCTTCTAAGGTATCTGACAGAATTGCTGACATTTCTAACATACAGAATTTCAGTCCTTCCAATCTTTTTGATCTTTAAATTAGTTACTATCTGCCCATTGGCATTCTTTAACACACCAATTCAAAGTTGAAACCTCCTTCTGAATTCAGAGATCTCTTTGTCTCTTCTAATAGCTCTCTGAAATTCTTTGCTAAATTCCTTCCTCGTGTTTTTACTGTTTTTTGGTTTTGGCTTCTCTTCTGTTCTTAGCTATTTCCATTATTTTTTTCTGACAATAATTTACTTTTTTTCTGTTACTTCTGTTATGGTCTTTGGCAGTCTCTTTTCATTATTCATCCTTAACAACTTCTTTAATTTCATTCCACAGAGCTTCAGTGGAAGAGATTCAGGACTTTAAAGTAATTTCTGATGTTTCTGATGGACATGTCTGTTTTAACTGAGTTCATCCATCTACCTATAATGTAGCCAATTTGATTTCTTCCATCTGATGATGTCTGTATGTGTGTCATTTTTATTATTGGAAGATTGTGCTAACAATGAAGAAGTTATTAGATTGACAGAAATTAATAAATCGTTATCCTGCTTCATAGTTTCCTAAGCCATATATAGTCCAATTATATTTTTCTTTTTAATATTTCCAGCTGTTAGCCCCAATAGGCAGATGCCTAGAACATCAACCTATGACATTGCTGCCAAATATAGTTTCCTGCTAGATTTAGCTGGCCAGTTGCAATGACTATAATATTTTCAGTGACTCTTCTGGGACCATATACCCTGGCAGGTATCACCAGTATTCTTTGCTCATCGCTCCCAGAAACATACACCACCATCACAATGAGGAAACACAACAGGACTTGAAGGAGGTCAACTTCCAGATTTAATCTTCCAGACCCTGAAGAAAGAATGATACTGTCTGGGAGATAAGAACTCCCACTACACCATTCACCACTCTATGAAGTGGAATAAAACTCTAAGAACAGTGTGGAGTGGACTTCAGGGAAGATGTTTCCCCTCCCACAAAGTTCGCCTCCTTAAAGTCATCTTGACCACTTGAATAAACCAGTTCCTAAGCCAGAATTGATGCATATAATGAATTGCATTGTTTGGAGTATAAATGGACAAATACTTTAAAACATGTAGGCATAAATATTGCTTGAAGAAAGACCTAGTGCCTCATAACGGTGAACTTACTGTTTTCCAAGATTAGTTTCTGATGGAACAATGTAAGCCAGTTCGATTGTTTCTAAGATGTTCTATATACTACATTATTTATTTGGGTTTTATTTCTCCCATTCATGCATATGTCCTGTTTTTAATTCTATGTTATTTTTAATTGTTCTGTTTCATTTGGTGGTTAGACCCCTTTAGCATCATTGTTTTAATTTTAAGGTGAGATCAAAGAAATAAATATTGCTTTAACCAAATAGTTCCAAGTAGTTCTACATACAATGTAGTGTATTTCATCTGATTGTTAAAAAAACAATTGTATCCCTTTCCATTTTACATTTACTGTATTTATTTTAAAGATCGTTTTAATGAGGCATTTATTTAGGTGAAAGCATTACCAAACCAAACCACCTCTTTGAAGCTATATACCATTCTGATTCTTATGTTCCTAAATGCATGCTTCGGTTGCAAAATTCAACTCTTCCAACATCTCTTCACCTGTTTTCTATTGCTCTTATGATTCAATAATCAATTTTATTATAGAGTTGATAGTCCTCGTCTTAGAACCATTCATTTTAATGATTGATTGTAGTTACAACAGCAATCAAAAAAGTGACTTATGACCATTTTTCATACCTATGATGTTTGCATCCCCATGGCTACACAATCAACCTTCAAACACTTGGCAACTGGCATGTATTTATGGTTGCTATATTCCAGGGTCATGTGATCAAGTTTTTCAACCTTTTGACAAGCAAAGTCTATGGGAAACCAGGATTCACTTAACAATCATGTTATTAACTTAGCAACTCAATGATTCATTTAACAATTGTGGCAAGAAAAGACATAACATGGGACAAAACTCATTTAGCAACTGTTTGGCTTGGCAACAGAAATGTTGGGTTCAATTGTGGGTCATAAGTCGAATACTACTTTAACATCCCAATAGGGCAGGGGTCGGCAACACTCAAAGAGCCACAAAGGTCCTAACCAGAAGCCCCCTTTCCATTCTGGAGCTGACCAGAAGTCTGGTTTCCCCACCACAGAGTATCTTCCTACAGCGGCATCCTTTTTCCTCTACCTGTCCTAATGGAAAGCCTTATCAATTGTGGAGCTGATCAGAAAACCTACTCCTTGCCATAAAGTCTCCTCCTGGCGCACCTGCTTCCCCCACCCCAACTGGAAGCTCCTCTCAAAATTGTGGTGCCGACTGGTGACAGGGATCCACAGCAGAGGGATGAAAGAGCCATATGCAGCTCCACAGTGTGAGCTCTATCGGTTCAATTTAAATTGTTTTTGGCACAAACTAAGTTTGAGGAAGACTGAGAAAACAGTCTTCTGCCACATCAAGATGCTGATGGAGTTTTAAATGAAAGGTATATATGGTAAGTTGCAAGTGTCATGGCAACAAAAGGGGAACATGTGTATAATAGGATTGTGCACAGCATTTGAATAATCTCTCTTTCAAATGTTCTGCCCTGGTGGAAGCTTTGTGTGGCTGTCCCCAGTAGTCTGCACCTGTGTAGGAGTTACAGAAATGCAGATCCTTTAATACTTCAAAACTCTTTCTTTGCATCAGTGCATTCCACAAAGCTGCCAGTGTCCTACTGACCATTAAAGCTGACCATATCTCAGAGCCTGTCAGTTTGCCATGCGTGCACCAGGCTGAAGTTGGACCTCAACAAACTGGTGACCGAGTGATTGAAGCATGGACAGGCAAGGCCAACATCACTTATGGCTTCCTTGTTCTTCACAGCTGCAGCTGTTTTTTTCCCCTCTGTGTGATAAAATATATTTATGTAATCAATTTTTAGCCTGCTTTCCATTAAAATTGAGCTTTGAAACTGAGCTAAATTTCCAGAAATTATTGCCTCTTACTATGAAAGTGGCATATGCCAAATTGAAGACAAAACACTTTTTTCTCTCTCTCTTTGAGAAGTGCCAATGCAATTTTTATTGCTTGGCAGTATTGGAAATAATTTTAGGTTTAGTTGCTTTTTCTGAGGGGATAAATCCTGCCAAATGTTAATGATTAGGTTCATAATAACCAAACCAAATGTTAGGATCCGATTAACGAAGAATGTTGCCTTGTAAGTGGTCAAAATGAAATAGTGAAAAGGCAGTTTAAGGTGTGTGGGTTTTTTGTTACTATTGTTTAATTTGATACTATGATACTCTTCTTTTAAAAAAACCTGATTCATTGGAGACTTTTGTAACAATATAAGAAAAGGGTTTAGTGGTATAGACTTCAGCCTCAGGCAAGCACTTGAGTTTGAATTTGAGACCTTTGCTGTGACTTTTCTTCCAAACTAAGAAATAAGCGTTATCTTTTTTCCAATAGATAGGGAAAACATGGAAACAATTTTGGGAAATTGAGAAGTGATAAAATGATTGAGTTGGAAAAGTTATACACACATGCATACATACACACACGCACGCACGCACACACACACACACATCAGTTCTGTAATTGTAGAAAGCTGCTCGTCATCTACCAAGTTATTTCTTAGAATAAATGTTGAAAAAAGCATCTATCCTATTAGTATTTCCATTTTTTATGTACAGGTAGTCTAGTGGTGGGTTCTGGATCCCGTTACAACTGGTACGGTTGCAGCGGGGCCCAGCATCCTCCACATGAATGTGCACATCGTGCGCATACATTTTACCTTCCAGTGATGCCTGCACGGAAGCGCCGAAGAGTTTAAAGACAGGTAAGGAGTGTGGGCAAACGGGTGGGCCCTCCGGAGCACTGTACCGGAACCGTACCCGGTCCTCCAGGCAGGCTCCAGTACACCCGTATTGGGCCATACCGCCTGCAACCCACCACTGAGGTAGTCCTTGACTTACAACAGTTCCTTTAGTGACTGTTTGAAGTTACAACAGCACTGAAAGAAATGAGTTACAAACAATTCCCACACTTACGATCATTGCAGAATCCCAATGGTCACTTGATTAAAATTTGGATGCTTGATATCTGGTTCATATTTATGATGGTTGCAGTGTCCTGGTATTCATGTGATCACATTTTGTAAACTTCTGTCAACCAACGCCAATGAGGAAGTCAGATTCACTTAACAACCATGTTACCAACTTAACAACTGTAGGGATTCACTTAACAACTGTGGCAAAAGGGTCGTAAAATGGAGCAAAGTTCACTTAACAAATGTCTTATTTAGCAACATAAATTTGGGGCTCAATTATAGTCGTAAGTTGAGGACTACCTGTATAACAAGCAATCTCATCATTGCTCAGAGTATAAGTACTGGTACATAACAAGCAGCCCTATTAACTGAATTTCCAAATGGATTCAAAGTTATTATTGGTTTGCCAAATACTCCCAAAATGTTATTTCATTATAATTCATTCTATTCCTTACCATTGACTACATTTTGCAGACTGCTGATTCTAATATATAATAAATTTAGATGAGAATAGATTCCCCACCCATAAACTTAGATCCTTGAATGATTCTACCTAAAATTAGTAGTAAAAACTGTTTTGAAAACATCACACAATTCCGTATTTTTTTTCTAACTCACAGATAAATCTTCCATCATATAGTCATTCCTCCTGCCTCATAAACTCATTTTCTTTGCTACTGGTGCAAGAATTGTTCTAGGAGAATTATATTCTTATAAATACAAGCCTAAGACTTATTCAGCGAAAAGGACAAAAATGTATTTAGTACAATTGGCAGTATAATGGTACTGCCAATTCAAGGAACAAACAAATCTACTAGGCAAAACAGAAACAGAGTCCTATGGGATTGGGTGGCATATAAATTTTAATAATAAAATAAATAAATAAATAAATAAATAAATAAATAAATAAATAAATAAATAAATAAATAAATAAATAAAT